AAAAAATTTCCCAACCTCAATTACTAGAAACAACTTTTCAGAAATTATTGAAGAAAAATACTCTCACTACACAAAAATCTTTACAGACGCCTCAAAATTCTTCCATGAAACTGGATTCGCTTTTATAGAAAATAACAAAACCTCTATGTTCAAACCTCCTCCTGAAACTAGCATTTTCTCCACCGAAACCCAAGCCATCCATAAAACAATCTCACACGCAACCACTTTAGTGTCTAAAAAAATATTTACTTTCAGTGACTCTCTTAGTGTACTCCTTGCTTTGGAAAACCCTTACCCAAAAATGAAATTATTCAAACCATTCAAGAAAAATTATCACACTCAAGCAAAAAAAATAAATGTATATGGATTCATTTGTACACAGGCATAATTAGCAACAAACTTACTGATAAGATAACCAACGAAGCAATAACATCTCCCAGCTCGGTAATATTAAGCAAAATAACACTTCGAAACGTACTCATAAAAATCAACAATCTCACTAAAAATCACTGGCAAAACACGTGAATGGTGACTCCAAATACAAACAAATTAAAAAATATCAAATTATCAATTAACCCATAGAAAACCTCCTCACCCTCATTCAGGCACGAATAAATAGTTATCACAGGGGTTGGGATTAGACACTCTCGTCTAACATACCTGCAACTTATACCTAAAGAAGACTGTCTGACCTGTGAACTCTGTGACAAATAACTGAAGATAAAACATATCACACTAGAATGTCCAAAGTTCAACAGCTTCAGAAAAAATCTCGGAAACCCATCAACGATGCATTCAAGAACTTGGCGAAGAAAATTTCAAAAATATATTTACAAATAGACTTAGCAAAATTAATGTAAAAAGAAAAAATACTTGTATTCAATATATTTAACATACTCCTTCTAATGTTAAACAAAATGTTTTTCACTAGCTTTAAGATCAATATTTTGTAACTATTTCAAGCTAATGACCTTAGAAGTAGAAGCCTTTTATCTTTTATCGTAGTAAAAAAAAAAATAAAATATTTATGAATTTCTCAAACCAATGCCGTCGTATATTGATGGTTTGATAATGCCTAAAACTATTTGTCTGAGTGATTCTTGTGCTACGTGTCTACAATATATAAAAAACGAATAAAACGTATACTTTTCATTTGATAGCTTTTAAAATCTAGAATAAGTGAAACAAATATTTTGTTTTTAGTTAAAATGTTGAGTGAACCATTTTTTTAAATTTTATGTCATCGTATGCATTACGCATATAAAATAATAAATATTATGTTGGTATTAAGACCTTTTATATTTCATTATTGTGTTCATTTTTTGTCATTCACTACTTTTGTTTCCATGTTAATATCGTTGTTGATATAACACAAATTTGATGAATTTTAATCTAAAAATGTTTTAAATTAATAACTATATATCTTAAAATATTTCAAAAAATAATATTATAGTATAATCATATACAATTAATAATAATATTAAAAAATGACTAGCGTTTCCGTTTTTAATACTTACAATTATATATAAAAAAAAAAATTCAATGGTAAAATGAATCACTGTTCCATTATGAAACATCTTAAGTTGTGCTTTATGGTTTTAAACTTATATCGCTTTAAGGCTTCGAGGTTCGGCCAAATCAGTCTGCTTAATGCGCTGAGTGTATATTCTCAAACACCGGTGCCAAGTTTTACGGTTTAATAAACGTGCATATCCTGAATCGTGGGTTTAAACAGATTTCCCACCACGAATGAATGCTTTAACATAACAATTATAATAATATAATATAGAAATGAAATATACCGACTGCAACCATTAAGCGTTATCGAATCAGACGCATGTGCAGTGCGAGTAAATCTGTAATATAATAATTAATAAGTACATTGTTTGAACTTGTTGGTTATATAATAATAATAGTAATAATCACAATATGTGTTGGAAAATCGAGTTTAGAACAAATTTGTGAACTAAAATCCGTTTGTATAGTAGGTTGACATAGCGCAGTGAGTCGTTAAATTAGATACCCAGTATTAAACCGTGTAAACGTAACAATATAGGTCCCAGATGGGTCACCGTCTATGTAATTTTTTTTTTTTTTGTGTCGTTCTCACTCGATTTAAACTATGCTTAGAGAAGTATTAAAAGAAAAAAAACTTATAAAAACCAAACTAAAAAAATACATTTTTTAGTAAACCTAGAATACGAACATTTTACACGTAGTTTTTGGATTGTCATTCAAGTGCGGTATTAAAATAAACATACATACATATATATATATTGTAGTAGAAGATCAAATCGTTTGAAGATTAATACAAGAAATTGTTATTAACTTTGATTTTTCTATAGGTACTAATAATACGTAGTTTATTTAAATCGATATTGAAAATGATGTAGATTCGTAAAATTTTGTTTTACTACAGCTTATAAAAATCTGTTATTATAAAATATATTATTATCTACTATATATTTTTTTTAAATTAGATTAGATATTCTACAAAACAGCAAAAGTCATTGTCATACACCATTTTACTTATAGAACCTGCAATAACAAGCTGAACGCCGTGTATGGTTATTTGAAAAATTAAAATATAATTTAAACATTTGCTTTTTATTTATGTTCTTATAAATATTATTCATAGTTAAAATACAAATTAAAAATGGTAATAGGTTAGTATAATTTACGTATTTTAAAATCAATTAAAAAGCAAATAATACTTTCTAATAAATCTAATGTCATAATAATACATTGTATTCACAAGGATAGTAATAATAATTATTGGAAGGATAACGAATAGCATAATTTCAAGGAGTGGATGAAAATTGGGTGCTAAACAATTTACACGTTATTTTGGTATGTTAGCGTAGTCAGTATACTATTAATTATAATAAGACAATAGTACAAACGGTGTTAATTATTATATAATTCTATGTAAATATTCAATTCTACACTATAATATTATAACGTACTCTTCAAATCGAATTGAATAGTATTATACCTAAGTAATGTTCTCATTTAGATCTACATGATATTAATTATTTGGATCAGTCGATTAGGTAGGTAATAATATATAGAATAAATGACGTTCTTTGCAGGTATATTATTTAAGAATTTTATGTTACACATATGCTCAGAAAATTATAATATTTGTAAAAATAAAATAATTTTCTTGCAGAAATGACACGTAGTTTCAAACAAATATGAATTTGTTTAATGTCCACAGATAATATAATATTCGAAGTCATAAGATTTTTTAATTTCAGACATTATAGTAAGTTTTAATTACACGAATGATGCTTAATATTAATCAAGGCAATTTTGGTAAAGAGTAGGCGTTTATGTTATTTATTATTTCGTATTATATTATATATCCAGAGCATAACGTGTTTTTTTTTATCTTGAGAAACGTTAATGGATTTTTAAAAAAATAACAATACCAATAATAAATAACTAAACAATTTCGTACGCGGTCCAAGAAATCGAAAAAGTCAAATCGGTAGAAAATTCCTACGTCACAGCCGCAAAGACTGGGTGATATTTTATTTGTCCCGATATTATTAGTTCTTTTTCGTATATATATAATATGAAACGTGCCCATGATATCCGCTACTCGTACAAATACTCACACACACCCACACACTTACAGATAAACATATATGCACGTTTTGTCCGTGTATAAACGAATCGCCGACAATAAGTTTCAACGGGAAAATATGCCACATGGACCGCCGGTATCTATTTTTCTCGGCGATTTTCATTTCGTATATTTTTTCCATTCGTTTTTGATTGAATGTCGTTCGTTCGTGATTTGGGTACCTTCGAAGGCCTCGAGCTCTTCCAAACCGCTGCCAACACTTCTCGGGGCTAAATGACAACGTGTCGAACGTGAATCGGTTTTGTAATAGTCACTATTCGTCCGCCACTGCACGTTCGTACTTTCGTATTACATCCGCGGCTGCACAACGTGTAAACACACATGGTCTAACTGCATATTATTATTTTACTATATTGAGCAATAATGATTATCGTCTTAAGTCTTGATACAAGCCTCACAGCTGCCGATGAGTGTTAATTAAAAAAAAATAAAAACAATTTATTAGGTTCTAACTTTTTTTAAATTTAACGTTATGCAAAACAGAATTTTATTTTATTTTTATGGATATTATATTATTTTAATAATATAATGTCGTAATAATGTGTTTATAATAATATTTCATTCTCGTCTCACCAACTACCTTAATGTTGGATGTACATTGTTTTCACCAAAATTACCTATTTACTTATGAGAACTTATTGACTGTGCTGGCATTTAATTCCACTGAACTTTTTTGTTTATTGATTTCACTGTCTTACTTATTGATAAACTCTCTAACTCGCTATTTCTAATCAGATATCTTTTTGTTACATTTGCGCTTCACGTGTAATCTCCGTACGTCTTATTTATCTGATCGGCAGATCTCCACATTAAATTTAGTTATAACCCTACTTTCACATTGTAATGAAATATTATAATATCATGTCTTATCATATAAAATAATATTAATACCTCTTAAAGTCGTTATATAATTTACTAAATTTGATCTGAAATCTTTTCAAATACATTTTTGAATTTCCATAAATATTTTACGTTGTATTAACTTCGTATCAATAAGCGTCTTTTACTTTTTGCAAGTATTGAAAGTTTTAAGTATGATAAGATAGGAGTGGCGTTATTTAACCTGGTAAATATTTTGCTTCTCTACATATCAATTCTGTTTGTTTATAATTTAAATGTTTATTAATAAAAAAATTAATTTATATTAAGTTTAACAAAAAAAAAAAAAAAAAAAAAAATGGTTAATGGAAGCATATGTTTAATGGGTTGACACCGTAGTTATAATAATATAATATAAGTAAATTTTGAATTATATTTAATACATTATATCAACTTTAAAAACACAAAAATTAAATGAAAAAAATGTGCTTTTCACGTACAAATAAATATAAAATAGACATTTATAAATATGCTGACGTGTGAAATTGGTGACCATAGGTGTAACATGTTGAGGAAATCACTAGGACCCAGCTACCTGGGCCAATGGAATACTCAATACTGTATGCACGTATAATATGTAATATATACAGATAGGTGTATCTGCAGATTTTTGTTTACATATCGCAACAACTTTATTGTTTCAAGTGTCTCCGGTCCGGTGTGTTAAAAATTAAAACAAAACTCTATAAAAAAAAAAGTCATTATTTTTATTATTATTAATTTATTATTATGTTTTATTTAAATTCAATTATTGTTATCATCGTTTTCCCGATTCGTTTAATTTCACGATTATTGTGTTCAGTAAGTTTGAAAACGGTCATTTGATTAATTGAGACTATTGATGAACAATTATATCATACATCTATAATTTATGAGGTTATTAAATATTTTGCATTATAAATTTATAGCAGCGTTATCTGTTATTATTCCATGCAGGTACTAAAATATGTATGTAATAATTAAATAGTTTCCAAACTTATAAACGCCTGGTATATAATATTATTGCGTTTGTTTTTCACATTTTTTCTCTTTTTACTTGCTAAAATTCGTATTGAATAAAAACGACCAGTCGTGATAATTAATTTCAAAATGATGAGTTACAGTCAGTTATTTGTTTTTATAAATCTGCGTAGATAGTTTAAAAAAATAAAAATCATAAAAAAAAAGTTTAAAGAAAAATATTTGCGTGAAATGTCGACATAATGAAGTTATGCAGTTGTTGGAAATATATTTTCAAAAACGGAAACTAACAATTTGCATACGCACGTATTACGTTGGTATACATATACAATATTTATACATAATATAAAGTGTATCATTTTGTTTGTCAACGTTGCATTCTGGAATGTAATATAAAATAATAAAATTTAACATACTATACCTGACTTAAAATATGTTATTTATTATAAGCTATTTAGTTTTTAGCCAGTTGAATATTATATAATTTTAAAATAAATATAAGTTACAAGTTTTCAATAATTTATGATAATAGCTTACCATTTTAATACATTTACTATGCTGAAACAAAATAATTATTAATGATAAAACATTTCAGTTTACCTTATTTATAATTTAATTGTTATTAATTGTTTTTTTTTTTTAAATTAAATCTATTTTTAAAATCCATAACGCAGACATTAATACTTAAATATAAATATATTCACCACAGCAATGTAATATTGTTTAATGAGTTAATTTGATTAGTTAGAATTATTTTTAATAATGAACGCCTTCATATCATGTAATAACATTAATATAATTTGAAATTGATTTAAGCTTTACGAGTACCTAAATAGTATTTATGTGTTGTAAACTGTAATGCTACACTGACTTTTAATATCCTAAAACTAAAATAATCAAACCCTATTGCTTATAAATTATAGAATATACTCTAGTTTATCAAAATATATTTCAAAATCAGTTAAATGGAAGGTGGAACAAATTAAATTATATTTATACAATAATTTGTAGTATGCTGAAAACGGAGCTCTTTACGTTTATGTATGTAAATAACAATAATTTTTTTTCAGTGTTTTTTTTTTATGTATTCTTCGAACAGACGTTCATAGAAATTATTTCACGTTCAATTAAAATATAAGTTATATCTATTATGAATTTATTGTTTATTAATTTTATTCAACATCCAAAAAAGTATCTACTATGCTATACTAAAATAATAACTAATGATAGCCGTATAAAAAATAAATCTTTTGTGGTCCTGATATCCTTCTTGTTTATTATCATAAACTTATGGAGTTTTTTTACTTAAATAAACTAATCATTAGTTAAAATAATGAGTTTTAAACCAGGGTTTCCATTTTTTTTCATCTTATGCCTCCCTCGTAAATTTTTGAAAATTTCAAACCCCCTCTTTCAATTAGAGATTAGACAACCTTTTTTTTTAGTAAACCTTACAAATATATTTAAAAAAATATCTATAATAAAATGTACAGATAATAACTTATCTATTTTTTCATCATTTTAAAAATAAAATATAAATTAATTTAATAAACAATAATATTATTTTTATATTTTTTGAATACTATTTCATTAGTGTTTTATATAAAATATTGATATTATAAATAATATCAGTTTAATAAGAAATTTTATATTATTTTTTCCCACCAAGTCCATTATCCGTGACAATTTTTTTGGTAATGTACATATAATATATATCAGGGATAGGCAACTGGATGCTCATAGATTGCATGAGACCCACGAGCCTTTTTTATCTGGCCCGTGTTACATTTTTAAATTACATCATACAATTTTAAAGTTAAAAGTTCACATCATAAACAAAATAAATGCTAATTAAACGTATATGTTGAATGACTTTTTTTTTTTGCTTTCTATATTCTGGCCCGTTAAATTGTAATTTTCCAAAAAGTGACCCTCTAGTAATTTTGAGTTCCCCATCTCTCATATATATATAATTTTCCACTTAAAATCGATTTCTTTGTGTGCTTTTTATTTGTAAAAGTGAGGAAAAGTCTGATTTAAATTATAAAATACTCTTATAATTGTTATCAATGGATGTCTGTCAGAAAATTAATTTACTGTTTTCAATTTTACTGATTGTTCAGTGACATAATTATTTTAACAATAAAAATTTATCTTAATTTCAATATTATTATATTTTTTCTATGCAGTATATAAATTCTCTCTAGTTTGAAACCACTGTTTTAAACTAAATAAAAATAAAATACGTATATGTATTTTTAAAAGTATAGAGATTTTGGTTAAACACATATTAAGTTGTAACAAATATATATAATTTATAAATATATGTAATGTTTAAACAATTTTTAATTATCGTAACAACAAGTTATCATGTTGGAATTTACAATAATTAACATTATACATCTCTACAATATTTAATATAACTATTGGTTAAAATTTTAATCCAATTGACTAAGATTAAAATAGTTGAGTTAAGAGTTTCTTAAAAACTATTATTTTATTATTTATAAATATATGTGTGTGTGCGTGTCTGTAAAATGAAGAGGATTTTTAGTTTTGGTGGTGATAAAAAGACAGATCATTATAATAATATGATAAGTAAATTAATCAATTTAAACTTTCTATGTTAATTCTTCACTATCTCAGGTCTTATTAAATATTAAATTACGTATTTAAATGGTGTATTAACTTGTGCAATATTTAATAAGGTTTTATAAAACTAACGAAATATTTTCATAAGTAGAAGTATAGGTACGTATATTTTTTTTCTTTAATGCAAATACCTATTTTTTATAATATACCGTTTAATAATGATTAATGCTTTAAAACTTAATATTATGAACATTGTGTAGTTATGTAATAACATGATATGATATTTATTTGTTCTCTTATTTTTAATAATTTACCGTCAAACAAAACTTCTGCGATAGCTTCAATGATGTAATGTTAATTTTATTATTTTAATAATTGCGTAACGTACATATACTACGTTGACAGACAGAATCATAATAAACATTATACATAATACGTGGTATAAATAATTGACAAAAAGTTTGAAAATTTGACAATCATTGTAGTACAAAATATAATATGGACCAGAATTATAACGTCAAGCTTAATGATTTTTGTTGCACGCGTTTAAACTATAAATGCGTGTAATAATTGAAGAAATAATTGATGATTTTTGTCGACTTTTGTAACATGTTATTGGTAGATGGATGTTGTAATGTATCCCAGATTAGGTACTCCATAATATCATGTTAGTGCATGTTACAGATATTGTTAACAACAATATTTTATAAATGTATTTGACTTAATATGCTATAATCAATATACAATTTTTATTTTGAAAATAAAACTAATAATTATCATGATATTATTACATAATATACGAGTATAAATAAAAAAATAAATAATTAATAAAAGTAATTATTCAATGATTAGGTACCTAGTCAATTAAACAATATACCAGTAATTCTATATTATGTTACACTCTGAACATAAATTATTTTAATACAATTATTATTATCATTATCATATTATTCGCTATCGTTTAGGCTGCACTGACAATAACGATCTAAATTTCTATAAACACATCGTATTCTATTATAAATATTATGAGATATTATGTACTATTAAAATAGACGTGTTGACTCGTTTAAAACATCATACGCGTTTTAGTGTGGACCATTTTATGTCGATGAGATTATTGACGTATTACACGTGTGTCCAGTAGCATAAATCCAAGAGTTAAAAATAAATACTATTTAAATATTATATTCACACGATATAAGTATATTTTAAATTTAATAATAACTTGTAGTATACAACTATTGTGGTAGGGAGAGGAGGGAAGTCTTACATGGGTTTTTATACTTTGAGTAATTAATTAGGTACTCATTTTATCAATAATTATAAAATCAATACAGATTTTATAGATATTCTTTTGATTTAGGCACGAAAAAGTCGGTTAATCATCTGAAATGTTTTTACCTCATAAATGCTAAAAAACAGTTTTTAATTATAACTTTGTTTTGTTTATTCTTAAAAAAGGTAGTCGAAAATTAAGTTTTTATGAGTTATTGGCAACTACACATAGGTTGGTTATATATTTATATTATCGAATTTGATTATTTTAAAATAAACACTAATTTTCTCAAAATATGTAAACATATTTGTGAATTTTTATTTTACATAATTAAAGTCGTTAAAAACTAACAATTTAGAAAAAATTGTATTTTTACTATTTTTTTTTATCATTATACATTTTTTAAGTTCTTACATTTTTAATTTTATGTTTCTAAGAAAAGTATTTTCTTTGAATTTCATAAAATATATAAATCGAATTAAAAAAAAAAATAATAATAATTAGGTAGTTAATATTAATTAAAATGTTGGATTAACAAAGAGGTGAGCCTACATTTTAAGGGTGTACCTCTGTATTACTCTTATTATCAAACTTTAAAATACTTGTAACTAATTAACTACTCTTTCAAAATTAGATTTTTAATTTTTATATACAATTAAAGTATATGTTCCTTGTAGTTTAAAACATTAAGATAGTTTTAAATAAAAGATATATCTTAAGTTACAAATTACC